TCGACGCGCAGACCGCGGACCCGTTGGTCCCGCCGACGAGCGTCACGTTGGCCTCCGTCCAGGCGCCGTCCCAGTAGACGCAGCGCCGGTCCGACCCGCCCGCGGCGGGGAGCCGGAGCAGGACCGGCGCCGCGAGGCCGGAGACGGCGACGGGGCCCGCGTCCCAGACCTCGACCTCCAGCTCGTCGGCGACGAGCGCGAAGCCGTCCGCGACGCCGCCCCGGCGGAAGACGCGCCGCCAGAGCGTCGCGCGGATCCGGACCGCGGCGTCGCCGGCCAGCGCCTCGCCGGGCAGCGCGACCGCGTAGCCGTCCGCCACGCGCACGGCCGCGGGCTCGCCCGCCGCCGCGACCTGGACGCTCACGACGATGGCCGGCGACGACACGGTCACCGACCCGTTGGCGGCGAGAAACGCGCCCGCCTGGTGCAGGAGCTCGTCCCGGAGCGCGACGACGCGCCGCGTCGCGTTGCCGTCGCCGCCCGCGTCCTCCGCGTCCTCCAAGACGTCGGACATGGTCCGCAGCACCGCGCCGGAAATGTTGTCCGTCAGCGCGCCGACGGCCGTCGCCGCGAGGACGCCGTCGGCGACGTCGAGCGCGAGGGCCCGCACGCCTGCGCCGAGCGCCTGCGCGTCCGCGGCCCGCGCGACCGCCTCCGCGGACAGGGCCGCGTCCTCGGCCGCGGCGCCGCAGGCGTCGCCCGCGGCGGCGGCGGCGTCGCAGGCCGCCGGGCAGCCGTCGCAGAGCGTCCGGAGCGTCGCGTTGAGCTCCGCGGCGAGCCACGCGGGGTCGTGCGTCGGGGCCGGCGACGACGGGGCGGCCGTCGGCGCCCGCGTCGGCGGCGGCGACGGCGCGAGCCGGGGCGTCGGGCGCACCGTCGTCGACGGCGCGCTCGACGGCGCCGCGGTCGTCGGCGCGGGCGACGGCGGCGACGACGGCGCGGGCGACGGCGGCGACGACGGCGCGGCCGTCGGCGGCGGGAGCTCGCAGGCGTTCTCGAAGACCGCGACGAGGCCCTCGTGCGTGCCGACGGCGACGTCGACGTCGCCGTCGCCGTCCACGTCCTCGGCGAAGATCGCGCTCAAGTGGACGACGGCCGTCTCGTCGAGCACCTGCGCCGTGACCTGTGTGCAAATCAAATCTTCAACCCGACTTCAATGTGCGCGTATTCGAATGTTTTGACACGAGCACTTCCGCCGTGCTTCGAGAACTCGACGAGAGCAATCGATTCGTCCAAAAATCAGCCGAATCGACTTCGATTTGACCGAGCTAGAGAATTCTCAAGTTTGGCCCCGACGTCCCAGCTCACTGGTTGATTTGCACACAGGCCGCGACGAAGGCGCCGCCGTCGTCGACGAACAGGGTCAGCACCTTGTCCGCCCCCGTCGTCGAGAGGACGTCCACGTCGCCGTCGCCGTCCAGGTCCGCGGCGACGACCGCGTAGGCGTTGTCCGCGAGCGTCGTGAGGACGCGCTCCGTGAAAGACTGGGACCCGTCGTTTTCGTACGAGGCGACCGCGTCGTCGCTCCACGACGTCGACAGCGCGTCGACGTCGGCGTCGCCGTCCACATCGATCGCGAAGACGGCGTAGGCGTGGTCCGCGAGCGTCGTGACGACGCGTTCCGAGAAGGACTGGGACCCGTCGTTCTCGAACCACGCGACCGTGTCGTCGTTGGCGGACGAGGCGAGCGCGTCGACGTCGCCGTCGCCGTCGACGTCGATGGCGAAGACGTTGGTAGCGGCGTCCGCCGAGTTCGTGATGACGCGCTCCGCGAAGGACTGCGAGCCGTCGTTCTCGTACCACGCGACCGTGTCGTCGAGGAGGGGGGCCGAAAGCGCGTCGACGTCGCCGTCGCCGTCGACGTCGATGGCGCAGACGGACGCGGGGTGGTCCGGCGAGTTCGCGATCACGTGCTTGGTGAAGGACTGGGAGCCGTCGTTCTCGAACCAGGCGACGGCGTCGGCGACGCCGGACGCCGCCAGCACGTCCACGTCGAAGTCGCCGTCCACGTCGATCGCGCGGGCGGACTTGGCGCCGACGAAGTCGGCGGCGATGACGTGCGCGGCCGGCCCGGAGTCGTACCACGCGACCGTGTCGACGTGCAGGACCGAGGCCACGATGTCCTCGTCGCCGTCGCCGTCGACGTCGATCGCGTGGACGCCCGTCACCTGGCCTCCCGTGTCGCTCCACACGTGCGGCTCGGCGATCAGGGCGGCCGACGCGCAGCGCACCGTCGGCCGCGGCGTCGGCGCCGGAACCGGGCGCGTGGGCGCGCGCGTGGCCGTCGGGCTCGCGGACGGCGCGTGCGTGCCGCAGTCGTTCTCGTACCACGCGACCGTGTCGTCGTTGGCGGACGAGGCGAGCGCGTCGACGTCGCCGTCGCCGTCGACGTCGATGGCGAAGACGGAGCGGGGGTCGTCCGGTGTGCCGACGACGCGCTCCGTGAAGGACTGCGACCCGTCGTTCTCGTACCACGCAACTATGTCGTCGCCTGTGTATGCAGATAGCGCGTCGACGTCGCCGTTGCCGTCGACGTCGATGGCGAAGACGGAGAAGGGCCAGCCGGCGAGCGTCGTGATGATGCGCTCCGTGAAGGACTGGGACCCGTCGTTCTCGTGCCACGCGACCGTTTCATCTGCACCCGACGCCGAGAGCGCGTCGACGTCGCCGTCGCCGTCGACGTCGATCGCGAAGACGGCGTTGGCATAGTCCGCCAGCGTCGTGATGACGCGCTCGGTGAAGGACTGCGACCCGTCGTTCTCGTACCAGGCGACCGTGTCGTCGTTGCCGGACGCCGAGAGCGCGTCGACGTCGCCGTCGCCGTCGACGTCGATCGCGTAGACGGAGCGCGCGTTGTCCGCGAGCGCCGTGATGACGCGCTCCGCGAAGGACTGAGAGCCGTCGTTCTCGTACCAGGCGACCGTGTCGTCGTTGGCGGACACCGACAGCGCGTCGACGTCGCCGTCGCCGTCGACGTCGACGGCGAAGACGGACCAGGCCAGGTACGCCGAGTCGGTGATGATGCGCTCCGTGAAGGACTCGGATCCGTCGTTCTCGTGCCACGCGACCGTGTTGTCGTCGCCCGACGCGGAGAGCGCGTCGACGTCGCCGTCGCCGCCGACGTCGAGCGCGAAGACGGAGTAGGCGCCGTCCGCCGAGTTTGTGATGACGCGCTCGGTGAAGGACTCGGTCCCATCGTTCTCGTACCACGCGACGGTGTCGTCGCCGTAGGACGCCGACAGCGCGTCGACGTCGCCGTCGCCGTCGACGTCGATGGCGAAGACGGAGTAGGCCCAGCCGGCGAGCGTCGTGATGATGCGCTCGGCGAAGGAGACGCTGGCGCAGTTGAACGTCGGCCGCGGCGGCGGGGCCTGACTCGGCGTCGGCGCGGGGCTCGACGTCGGCGAGGCGGTCTCGCAACCGTTCTCGTACCACGCGAACGTTTGGTCGGAGATGGACGCGGAGAGCGCGTCGACGTCGCCGTCGCCGTCGACGTCGATCGCGAAGACGGAGCGGGCGTTGTTCGCCGAGTCGGTGATGACGCGCCGAGTGAAGGACCGGGAGCCGTCGTTTTCGTACCAGGCGACGGTGTCGTCCTCGTAGGACGCCGAGAGCGCGTCCACGTCCCCGTCGCCGTCAACGTCGATCGAAAAAACGGCTGTGGCGCCGTCGGCTATTGTCGTGACGACGTACTCGGCGCCGCCGTCGACGCCGTCGTTCTCGTACCAGGCGACCGTGTCGTCTTCAGAGGACGCCGACAGCGCGTCCACGTCGCCGTCGCCGTCGACGTCGATCGCGTAGATCGACTCGGCGTGGTCCGCGGATGCCGAGATGACGCGCTCCGTGAAGGACTGCGACCCGTCGTTCTCGTACCAGGCGACGGTGTCGTCGAGGGAGGACGCGGAGAGCGCGTCGACGTCGCCGTCCCCGTCGAGGTCGATGGCGAAGACGGAGCGGGCGTAGTCCGCGAGGGTCGTGATGATGCGCTCGGAGAAGGACTGGGACCCGTCGTTCTCGTACCACGCGACCGTGTCGTCGAGGGAGGACGCCGAGAGCCCGTCCACGTCGCCGTCGCCGTCGACGTCGATGGCGAAGACGGAGCAGGCGCTGTCCGCCGAGTCGGTGATGACGCGCTCGGTAAAGGATTGGCTCCCGTCGTTCTCGTACCACGCGACCGTGTCGTCGAGGTAGGACGTCGACAGCGCGTCGACGTCGCCGTCGCCGTCGACGTCGATCGCGAAGACGGAGCGGGGGTCGTCCACGATCGTCGTGATGATAAACTCCGTGAAGGACTGAGACCCGTCGTTCTCGTACCACGCGACCGTGTCGTCGCTCCTGGACGCCGCGAGCGCGTCGACGTCGCCGTCGCCGTCGACGTCGATCGCGACGACCTTCATTGCGCCAGGCGCCGCGTTCGTGAGGACGTGCGTCGTGAAGTCGACGGCGATGCAGCTTTGCGACCGCGCCGCGGGCAGGAGCGCCGCGGCCAGCCACAGGACGTCGCGGCGCATCCTAGATCGCGTCGGGGCGGCAGCGCGCGGATGGCATGCCCCCACGCAAAGGAGTTACTTCCCGCCGGGGTATTACTCTGAGTTTGTCCCCTGTTGAAGCGGCACAGTGCGGCAAAAGCCGTCGTTGCATGGGCTTTTCTTCGCGGCGCTCGCGATGGCGTCTGAGCGTTATGCGCCGGGATCGGCACTGGGGAGGTGCCTCCGCAGCGTCGGGGATGCCTTCGTTCGGGCGTCGACCTGCTATGACGCGGATCCTTAGTGGGTTCCGACGGCAGCGACCATGCGGAAGCCGTCGAACCCGACGTCGGTTGGCTCGAGGTCCCGAGGGGCAGCCCGAGGCGCCTGGGGTGGGGCCTCGCCGCCGGACATGGTCTGGACCCGACCCTATCATGGTATGGAACGGATCAAGACCATGTCCGGCGGCAGGGGCAGCCCCAGACACCCCACGGCCACCGTCGGGACGAAACGCCTCCGGAGCTCGGCTCGGTGGACTCGACGATTTCGCCCCCCCCCGAGGAACCTGCCGCGCTGGACGCGACGGGGTTGATGACGAACGATCTCCGCTGCTGCGATGGCTCGAAAACTATGCTAGAGGGGTCGCGAGGGGGCAGCGCGTCCCTTCCCACCCACTCTACCTCCCCGTTCCAGTCGCCACGCGGTCGTATGAGCGTCGCGTCTTCGCATGTGCGTCACCCTCGTCCTTGCGGCCCTCGCAGCTGCTGGGATCGTTGCACGATTCTGCATATTCGCGGAGCGGCGGGCCCTCAAAGACGGCCATCCCATCGCAGCGCGCCGCCAAAACGCTGCACAATGTCGATCATGAAGCACGGAGGACATTCGATCGATTTTACCCCGGCGGGCTTCCCTGCAACGTGCAGTCCACGGAAAAGCGAAAGAGTTAGATGGGCGTGGACGTGTTCGACGGGGGCGCGACGTAGGCGCCCGCCGTCGCGGACGCGTTGGGCGAGGCCGCCTCGATGCCGTCGGTGACGTCGCCCGCCGTGGACGTCGACGGGGGCTCCGGGAGGTGGCCCGAGTCCGCGTCCGTCGGGACCGCGTGGTTGCTCTCGGACGTGCACGACTCGGAGCAGAGGGTCCAGGGCTTTGTGTTGCGCCGGAACCAGGGGTTCGACGCCGTGCCGATGAGCTGGAAGGCGCGGCCCGTGAGGGGCATGGTGTAGTAGATGTAGAGCGTCGAGTTCGACGCGTTCGCGTAGAGGTGCTGCTTGTCCCACGCGTGGAAGATGCGGAAGTTCACCTTGTCGCGCGCGAACTGGTAGAGGATGTCGTCGAGCGTGCCGACGCCCTCGGCGGCGCCCTCGGCGTTCGGGTAGATGCCCGGGTGGAAGTCGAGGTACTGGTTGAAGCCGCAGTTCGGCGAGACGACGGTGTGCGCCGTGAGGAGCGAGAGGTAGTCCTCCCACTCCTGGACGGCCTCGTGGGCCGCCTTGAGCGTCGTCGAGGCGCCGTTGCCGGCCTCGGAGCCCGGCGGGTACATGACCCAGTGCCACTGGAGGAAGGACTCGCCCTCGAGCGTGAGCACGTAGCGGCTCTCGTCGCCGCCCGCGGAGCCGTAGATCTCCGTCGCCGTCATGTACTGGCGCCTGGGCAGCACAAGGGTGGTTCGACGTCGCTTCAACGTGAGTGTTCCGCGCGCGCGCGTTCCGGAAAAGCATCCACGCGTCGAGGCCGATCCGAGAGATGATCGCTCGTCCAAAAATCAGCCGAAACGAGTGGAAAACGGCCGAGCAAGGAGCCTTTGAAGTTGGGAATTTCGCTCTCTTTTGCTGCCCTGACTGGCGCATCCACAGGGACGCGTAGTCCGGGTACGTCGACGGGAAGGACAGCTTCGCGCAGACGTAGGACTCGGCCGTCGCACCGTCGCCCAGGTCGTCGAAGTAGGCCGCGTAGCGCGCGGGGTCGACGAGGCGCGCGGTCCGCGACTCGCTCGTCGGCCCGCCGAAGGCCGCGCCGATGAACTCGACGACCGTCGTCGTGCCCGGCACGTTGGCCAGGATGCTGTAGTAGGTCGCGTTGTCCCAGGCGCTGTGCCACCGCAGGGGCAGGTACGCGTAGCCGTGCGCCTCGAGGCGCCCCGCGAAGTAGTCGAGGTCGACGACGAAGAAGCCGATGTTGAACTCGAAGAAGATGTCCATGGACGAGTGGTCGCCGACGCGGTCCGCGAAGAGGGCCTCGAAGGCCTCGACGCTCAGCACGCCGCTGGGCCGCGCCGTCGCGTTGACCCAGTGCATCTGCAGGTTCGCCGTCACGACCTTGACCTGCTCGGCGCACGGCACCGACTGCACGGTGCCCTCGAAGGTGTTGCCCGTCGCCGACAGCACGTTCTGGGCGAAGCGCAGGCCGAGGCTCGGCTTGCTGCTCGCCCAGGTCATCTTCTGCACGGCGCTCATGGACACGGCCATGGACGCGCTCGCCGTCGGCGTCGCCTCGAGGAGGGCGGACGGCGGCGCCCAGGGGACGCCGGTCGTGCGTACGATCGCGCCGACGAGCGCGGCGCACGCGAGCAACGCGCCCGCCGCTCGTCGTCGTCGGCCCGGCCGCCCCGACCCATCGTCGATGGGCTGGTAGGGCGCCGACATGCTGCCCCGCACAGCTCAGCCAATTTGGCCTTGTATCCGGCTGCACCTTGAAGCTCAACTCGCGCACCGCGCCGTCGCGCCCATTGCGAGCGCGAGTGCGCGGCGCGCGGCGCCATGGCGCTGCAGCACCCGCTCGCGCTACGACCGGACTCTCACTCGCCGCCTTCCTCGCCGCCGTCGCACTTCGCCGCCGGCGCCTTCGACGCGCCGTCGACGCCGCCGAAGCCGTCGCCGCGGCGCGGCCTCCTGGACCGGTCGCCCGGCGCCGGGGCGCGGCTCGCGGCCTACGAGTCCAAGCTCCTGAAGTGCAGCGACGCGGAGCTCGCCGTGCTGCGGCGCGCCCAGGCGGCGTCGCCCGTCGCGGCCGCGCGCGGCCCGCGGCCCGCGCGGCGGAATCCCGGCGACATCGCCGAGCTCATGCAGCAGATGAACTCCAAGGTCGCCGACGCCGTCGCCGTGGCCAACACGGTGACGACGCAGCTGCGGTCGCCGACGAACCGGCGCGCGCGGAAGACCGCCGACGCGGACGAGCCCGCGGAGCCGAGGACGTTCTTCTTCTCGGCGTCGCGCCGCGAGCGGTCCGCGTCGCCCGTCGCGCGGCGCGTCGGCGCGTCGTCCCGCGACGCGTCGCCGGCGCGCGACGGCCGCACCTACACCAAGGCGCCGACGCCGAAGCAGCGGCCGCCGCCGAGCCCCGCGCGGCCGCCCGCGGCGGCGCGCGCCGCGTCGCCGGCCGCGCGCGCCGCGGCCCCGCGCGGCGCACGTCCGCGCGGCCCATCGCCAAGGCCGAGACGCCGCCGCGGCGCCGCGACGCGCCGCCGAGCCGCGACGCGAGCCCCGCCGCGCGCCGGAGCCCGCGCGCGGGCCGGCCCGGCGGCGTCCCGCCGCCGCCGACGCGGCGCGAGGACGACGACGACCCGGACGAGCTCCAGCGCGAGATCGACGCCATGACCATCGCCCTCGAGCGGCTCAAGGCGCGGCGGCACCGCGCGCTCATGCGCGCCGCCGCCGCCGCGGGCGACGTCGCGCCGGAGCTCACGGGGGTGGCGGACGCGCTGTGATGTCGTACGGCATAATGGAGTATGGCGCATTTTTGAATTTCTATGACGTGTGTGGGCGGGAGCGGGCGGACGCCGGCGCTTGCGCGCCCCGGAGGGCGGGCACGGACCCGCGAGCTCGATTTGATCCGAGGCACGCTCGTCGGCGCGCGATCAATCTCGACCCGAACCCGCGCGCACAGCCGCAAGACACACCTCCCCACGCGCGCGCCTCGTCAGAATACGCTCACCCGACACCGCCGCAAGGCGCACGCACGAACCCCATGGCCACGTCCGGCGCCGCGGCCCAGCAGCGCAAGGCCATCCTCCTCGAGGCGCGCCTGCGCGGCGTGACGGGCAAGGAGGCGTCGTCGGCCTTCGGGACGCCCTTCGACCAGAATATTGTCGGCGACCACAGCCTTCAAGCGCCCATCACGGAGCTCGGCTTCGGGGACCGCTCGAACTCGCGCGGCGGCCGGTCGAACGAGCTCCCCGGCGGCAAACCCGGCGGGCCCACGTCCATGGGCGGGATCGCGAGCACGCTCGCGGGCGGCGACGGGCGGCTCGCGCCCGGCGCGCCCGCGCCGCGCCTCTCCGGGGGCGGCGAGCCCGCGCCCAAGAAGATGAAGCGGTCGCTCGACACGCCCGACGGCAAGGCGGCGGCCGGCGGCAAGAAGCCGCCGCCCCCGAGCGGCGGCACGTCGGCGAAGCGCAAGGCGTCGGCGCCCCAGCGCATCGACAAGGCCCTCGGCGCCACGGTCGGCGGCCGGGCCACGGCCGCGCGCGGCGACGACGACGAGCTCCGGGCGCTCCGGGACCGGGTCGCGGCCGCGGAGGCCGAGGCCCGGGCGGCGACGGCGGCCGCCCGGGCCTCGGACAAGAAGGTGTCGGAGCTGAGCGCCGAGCTCAAGCGCTGCCGCGACGACCGCGACCGCGACGACGCGCGCGCGGCGCGGCGGGCGTCGGGCCTCCGGGCCGCGCTCGAGGCGACGCTCCGCGAGGGCGCCGTCGCCGAGGCCCGCGAGAAGCGCCGCGCCGTCGGCGCCGCCGCCTTCGAGCTCGGCCGCGCGGTCTACGCGTCGGGCGCCGGCGGCGGCTTCGGCGGCGGCCGCGACAGCTGGGAGGAGGGCGACGCGGAGAAGCGGCTCCGGCGGCGCGCGGCGGCCATCCTCCAGCGCCGCGAGGCCCTCGACGCCGCGAAGCGCGCGCGCGCCAAGGCGAAGAAGCGCGAGCCCGACGGGGGCGCGGCGTTCGACGTCGACGGCGCGGCCGAGGACGAGGCGCACCGGTTCCACGCGTCCCAGCTCAAGCGCGACGAGGCGGAGCTCGCCGGCGAGCGCGCGGCCATCGAGCGCAGGAAGCAGCAGCACGTGCGCGAGTGGCAGCGCGTGCGCCACGAGGACGCGTCGCGCTTCGCGCCCCGGCCCACGATGAACGACCGCTACCTCCTGCTGAGCCTGCTGGGCAAGGGCGGCTTCTCCGAGGTCTGGCTCGCCTACGACCTCGCCGAGGCGCGGCGCGTCGCCATCAAGTTCCACCAGCTCGACCGCGGCTGGTCCGACGAGAAAAAGTCCGCGTACGTCCGCCACGCGGCGCGCGAGTACGCGATCCAGCGCGACCTCGACCACCCGCGCGTCGTCAGGCTCCACGACGTCTTCGAGGTCGACACGAACACCTTCGCCACGGTGCTCGAGCACTGCGGCGGCGAGGATTTGGACTCGCTCCTCCGGTGCCGCAAGCACCTGCCCGAGCGCGACGCGCGCGCGATCCTCCTCCAGGTCCTCGCGGGCCTGAGGCACCTCCAGACGCCCAGCGGCCCGCGCAAGGCCATCATCCACTACGACCTCAAGCCGGGCAACATCCTCTTCGACGACGCGGGCGACGCGAAGATCACGGACTTCGGGCTCTCGAAGATCGTCACGGACGACGACGCGTCGTCGCGGGGCGGGCCGACGCTGTCCATGGAGCTCACGTCCCAGGGCGCGGGCACCTACTGGTACCTGCCGCCGGAGTGCTTCGCGACGGACGTCGCGGGCGGGCCGCGCATCTCGGGCAAGGTCGACGTCTGGTCCGCGGGCGTCATCTACTTCCAGATGCTCTTCGGCCGGAAGCCCTTCGGCGAGGGGCTGTCCCAGCAGCGCCTCCTCGCGGACCGCACCATGGCGCGGGCGACGTCCGTCGACTTCCCCGCGAAGCCCGCGGTCTCCGCGGACGCCAAGGACTTCCTCCGCGACTGCCTCAGGCACTCCGCCGCCGAGCGGCCCAGCGTCGCCGACCTCTGCGCCCACGCCTACGTCACGAAGGCCCTCTAAGCCCCGGGCGTTCCCTGCGCGACGGTCCCGAAAGGAGGCTCCACGTCGACGGTTCAACGGAAGTTCCACGTGTCTACAATCGCCTTCAACGTTTTGTAGTTTGTCAAAGGATCACATATAGAAAAAGAGTACTTTGAGACTACTTTGAGCGTGTCGCCATGGGTCGCAGCCCCAAAGCCGCGGCGCGGGGCCTGCTGGCGCTGGCGCTGCTCGCCGCGGGCTGCGGCGCGGACCTGACGAAGATCACCGCCTGCACCTGGGAGCAGAAAGGAACCCAGGAGTGCGACTCAAATTGCCTCGACATGGGGACCGGGAGCGGCTCCCGGGAGGCCTGCCGCGAGGGCCTCTACGAGAACGACGGTGTGCCAGACTGCGGCGGCACGACCATGTACTACAACTCGAACGACGACTCCTGCTACGTTTGCGACGGCGACGGCACGGGCGGCACGCTCTACACGCGGCACAAGATCGACATCTGCTCCACGATCACGAGTTGCTCCGCGGGCTACGAGCCGAGCAGCGACGGCCAGGACTGCGACCCGAGCCCGACGCCCGCGCCGACGGCGACGCCGACGGCCGCGCCGACGGCGACGCCGCAGCCGACGCACCCGCTCGTCGCGCACTACTCCTTCGACGACGGCACGGCCGCCGAGGACAGCGACGGCAGCCTCGACGGGACGATCAGCGGCGCGACGGCGACGACGGGCCGCGACGGGAGCGGCGCGCTGTCCTTCGACGGGACGGACGACTACGTCGATTTCCCGGCGGCGGTGACGGCGGACATCCTCGGAGGCGCCGCGCGGACCGTGTGCTTGTGGGCGAAAGTCGACGACCTCAGCGGCGGCGACTTTCTGTTCGGATACGGGTCCGAGAACAGCTACCTCGCGTTTGGCCTGCAGACGGCGGCCGCGGCGAGTGATGTGTTCACGGTCCAGTTCTGGAACTGGTACCCCGACGTGGAAATGCCGGGCTCCGACGACGGCGATTGGCACCACTACTGCCTGACTTACGACGGATCCGATTGGACTCTCTACTTGGACGGGTCGCAGGCCGGCACGGGGGCCGTCGCGGCGAACACGGGAACCTTCAACACCCTCCGCCTCGGACATTGGTATAGCGTCAACTACGCGATTGGATATTTTTCCGGCGCCATCGACGAGGTCTACGTCTACTCGAGCGCGCTCGACGCGGCGGCGGTCCAGGTCCTCTACGACGCCGTCACGCCCCCGCCGACGCCCGCGCCGACGCCGCGGCCGACGACGTTCTGCACGAGCGTCGCGTTCTCCGAGCGCATCATCACGACGCTGGCGGACGGCGCCGTTTCTGCCTACGCCATCGACGTCGACGGCGACGGCGATGTCGACGCGCTCTCGGCGTCCTGGAACGACGACACGGTCGCGTGGTACGAGAACGACGGGTCCCAGTCCTTCACGAAGCGCGTCATCACGACGCTCGCGGACGGCACCGGTTCCGTCTTCGCGATCGACGTCGACGGCGACGGCGACGTCGACGCGCTGTCGGCGTCCTACGCCGACGACACGGTCGCCTGGTACGAGAACGACGGCTCCCAGTCCTTCTCCGAACGCATCATCACGACGCTCGCGGACGGCGCCAAGTCTGTCATCGCGATCGACGTGGACGGCGACGGCGACAACGACGTGCTGTCCACGTCCCAGATCGACGACACGGTCACGTGGTACGAGAACGACGGAACCCAGTCCTTCACAGAGCGCATCGTCACGACGCTGGCGGACTACGCCCAGTCCGTCTTCGCGATCGACGTCGACGGCGACGGCGACGTCGACGTGTTGTCGGCGTCCTACGGCGACGACACGGTCGCGTTGTGGGAAAACGACGGCTCCGAGTCCTTCACTGAGCGCGTCATCACGACGCTGATGGACGGCGCCAAGTCTGTCATCGCGATCGACGTCGACGGCGACGGCGACATCGACGCGCTGTCGGCGTGCGAGATCGGCGATGAGGTCGCGTGGCACGAGAACGACGGCTCCCAGTCCTTCACCGATCGCATCATCACGACGCTGGCGGACGGCGGCACTTCCGCCTTCGCGATCGACGTCGACGGCGACGGCGACGTCGACGTCCTGTCGGCGTCCTACACCGACGACACCGTCGCGTGGTGCGAGAACGACGGCTCCCTGTCCTTCACCAGGCACGTCATCACGACCCTCGCGGACAACGTCAAGTCCGTCGTCGCGATCGACGTCGACGGTGACGGCGACGTCGACGCGCTCTCAGCGTCCTACTCGGACAGCTCCGTCGCGTGGTACGAGAACGACTGCGCCACGCTCGCGCCCACCGCGGCGCCGTCCACGAGCCCCGCGCCGACGACGAGCCCCGCGCCGACGCTGAGTCTGCCCCCGACGCCCCGCCCGACGGTCTTCTGCACGAGCGTCGCGTTCTCCGAGCGCATCATCACGACGCTGGCGGACGGCGCCGTTTCTGCCTACGCCATCGACGTCGACGGCAACGGCGATGTCGACGCGCTCTCGGCGTCCTGGAACGACGACACGGTCGCGTGGTACGAGAACGACGGGTCCCAGTCCTTCACGAAGCGCGTCATCACGACGCTCGCGGACGGCACCGGTTCCGTCTTCGCGATCGACGTCGACGGCGACGGCGACGTCGACGCGCTGTCGGCGTCCTACGCCGACGACACGGTCGCCTGGTACGAGAACGACGGCTCCCAGTCCTTCTCCGAACGCATCATCACGACGCTCGCGCCCCACGCCCGGTCCGTCTTTGCGATCGACGTCGACGGCGACGGCGACGCCGACGCGCTGTCGGCGTCCCAGTACGACGACACGGTCGCGTGGTACGAGAACGACGGCTCCCAGTCCTTCACAGAGCGCATCGTCACGACGCTGGCGGACTACGCCCAGTCCGTCTTCGCGATCGACGTCGACGGCGACGGCGACGTCGACGCGCTGTCGGCGTCCTACTACGACGACACGGTCGCGTGGTACGAGAACGACGGGTCCCAGTCTTTCACTGAGCGCATCGTCACGACGCTGATGGACGGCGCCAAGCCTGTCATCGCGATCGACGTCGACGGCGACGGCGACATCGACGCGCTGTCGGCGTGCGAGATCGGCGATGAGGTCGCGTGGCACGAGAACGACGGCTCCCAGTCCTTCACCGATCGCATCATCACGACGCTGGCGGACGGCGGCACTTCCGCCTTCGCGATCGACGTCGACGGCGACGGCGACGTCGACGTCCTGTCGGCGTCCTACACCGACGACACCGTCGCGTGGTGCGAGAACGACGGCTCCCTGTCCTTCACCAGGCACGTCATCACGACCCTCGCGGACAGGGTCAATTCCGTCGTCGCGATCGACGTCGACGGTGACGGCGACGTCGACGCGCTCTCGGCGTCCTACTCGGACAGCTCCGTCGCGTGGTACGAGAACGACTGCGCCACGCTCGCGCCCACCGAGGCGCCGTCCGCGAGCTTCAAGCCGACGACGAGCCCCGAGCCGACCACGGCGGCCCCTACGCCGCGGCCGACGACGTTCTGCACGAGCGTCGCGTTCTCCGAGCGCATCATCACGACGCTGGCGGACGGCGCCGTTTCTGCCTACGCCATCGACGTCGACGGCGACGGCGATGTCGACGCGCTCTCGGCGTCCTGGAACGACGACACGGTCGCGTGGTACGAGAACGACGGGTCCCAGTCCTTCACGAAGCGCGTCATCACGACGCTCGCGGACGGCACCGGTTCCGTCTTCGCGATCGACGTCGACGGCGACGGCGACGTCGACGCGCTGTCGGCGTCCTACGCCGACGACACGGTCGCCTGGTACGAGAACGACGGCTCCCAGTCCTTCTCCGAACGCATCATCACGACGCTCGCGGACGGCGCCAAGTCTGTCATCGCGATCGACGTGGACGGCGACGGCGACAACGACGTGCTGTCCACGTCCCAGATCGACGACACGGTCACGTGGTACGAGAACGACGGAACCCAGTCCTTCACAGAGCGCATCGTCACGACGCTGGCGGACTACGCCCAGTCCGTCTTCGCGATCGACGTCGACGGCGACGGCGACGTCGACGCGCTGTCGGCGTCCTACTACGACGACACGGTCGCGTGGTACGAGAACGACGGGTCCCAGTCTTTCACTGAGCGCATCGTCACGACGCTGATGGACGGCGCCAAGTCTGTCATCGCGATCGACGTCGACGGCGACGGCGACATCGACGCGCTGTCGGCGTGCGAGATCGGCGATGAGGTCGCGTGGCACGAGAACGACGGCTCCCAGTCCTTCACCGATCGCATCATCACGACGCTGGCGGACGGCGGCACTTCCGCCTTCGCGATCGACGTCGACGGCGACGGCGACGTCGACGTCCTGTCGGCGTCCTACACCGACGACACCGTCGCGTGGTGCGAGAACGACGGCTCCCTGTCCTTCACCAGGCACGTCATCACGACCCTCGCGGACAACGCCCAGTCCGTCGTCGCGATCGACGTCGACGGTGACGGCGACGTCGACGCGCTCTCGGCGTCCTACGGCGACAGCACCGTCGCGTGGTACGAGAACGAATGCGCCACGCTCGCGCCCACCGCGGCGCCGACTACATCGACCCCCGGACCAAGCACGATGCCGTCAGCGACGCCTAGCGCGAGACCCTCCTCGTCACCGAGCGCCGCGCCGTCCGGCCTGCCATCATCTGCGCCTAGCGCGAGACCGCGGCCGCGCCGACGGCCGCGCCGATGCCCGAGCCGTCCCCCGCGCCGACGGCCGCGCCGTCGGCGTCGCCGACCACCGCGCCGTCGGCCGCGCCGTCGGCCGCACCGAGTGCGCCTCCCTCGGCGCTGCCGACCGCCGCGCCGTCCGCCGCGCCCTCGGCGTCGCCCAGCGCGAGACCCTCCTCGCTCCCCAGCGCCGCGCCGTCCGGCCTGCCATCATCTGCGCCTAGCGCGAGACCGTCGGCCGCGCCGACGGCCGCGCCGATGCCCGAGCCGTCCCCCGCGC